GTGTTGCCAAATGGTGCCCGTTTCGATTTGCCCCTTCCCGAATCTTCCGAATCTTCATGGTACGACTTCAAACAACTCACATGGAAAACCGAATGAAGTCTCAACCAAGAGGGCAATTCAAGCTTGTAGGACACATTGCCGACTCTCTTGATTATGGGAAATGGCCCTTCATATCTTCGGACAAGGGCTTTGTGTAGTGGCCGAGTGGACTTGTGTTGTGATGGGAGGATTTTGACAAGTACTAAATCTCCCACGTTGTACTCCACATGCCTCCGCTTCTTGTCCGCCCACTTCTTCATTTTCTTTATTGCTTTATCAAGATATGCCAATGTGATGTCGGCTTGTTCATGCCATGACTTAGCAACTTTGAATGCCTCGGGGCTGCTCCCCTTATAACTTGTACCCAAGGTGTGCGGCGTGAGTGGTTGTTGACCCATCACTATTTCGAATGGGCTCTTGTTGGTGGCTTCATTTCTCTGCAAGTTGTATGAGAATTGGGCTACATCGATCAATTTTGCCCAATCAAGTTGGTTGGCACTCACAAAGTGCCGCAGATATATTTCTAGCAAACCATTCACTCTCTCAGTCTGCCCGTCGGTTTGAGGGTGAAAGCTCGTGGAGAAGTGCAACGCCGACCCCATAAGTTTGAACAACTCGGTCCAAAACCTCCTTGTGAACCGACTGTCCCGATCACTGATGATAGACTTCGAAAGACCCCAATACTTCACCACATGCTTGAAAAAGAGCTTGGCCTTGTCTTCCGCTGTATATTCCTTTGGTGCAGGGATGAAGGTAACATATTTGGATAACCTGTCCACCACAACAATAATAGTAGTGAACCCCTCGGATTTCGGTAAGCACACTATAAAGTCCATTGAAATGCTCTCCCATGCTTTGCTTGGTGTGGGCAGTGGTTCCAATAATCCAGTAGGGCTTCAGTGCTCCACCTTATCCTGTTGACACACGAGACAAGTTCTCACAAATTGCTCCACATCATCCCGCATCTGTGGCCAATAATAAGCTACTTCTAATAGTGCTCGGGTGCGCCTTTGTCCGGGATGTCTAGCCCGTTTGGTGTCGTGACACTCCTTGATTAAGTTCCTCCGCAAATTTCCCCACTTCGGAACATACACCCTTCTCCTTTTGGTGTATAGGAGGCCATCTTCTACCCAAAAGCGTTTAGTCTTGCCATCTTGAGCTAAAGAGATGAGTTGTTTGGCCAATGGATCATGCTCGAGACCCTCTTTTATGAGCTTGAGGAGATCCCCTTGTATCATGCTTATGGCTACAAACTCGGCCTTCCGACTCAATGCATCCGCTACCAAGTTGGCTTTCCCGGGCTTGTACTCCAACTCATAGTCAAACTCGACTAGGAAATCTTGCCATCTGGCTTGCTTGGGGCTAAGTTTCTTCTGACTTTGGAAGTAACTTGTTGCCACATTGTCCGTCTTCACCAAGAACTTGGACCCTAGTAAATAATGCCGCCAAGTGCGTAGACAATGCACCACGGCTGTCATCTCCTTCTCTTGCACCGTGTATCGCCGCTCCATATCATTGAGCTTTCGGCTTTCAAAGGCTATGGGATGTTCATCCTGCATTAACACACCTCTAATAGCGAAGTCAGATGCATCAGTATGTACCTCAAATGGTTGGGCATGGTCGGGCAAGGCTAACACGGGTCCTCCATGATGGCCCTTTTTAGAGAATCAAAGGCATGTTGGCGATCAATCGTCCACTCCCATTTTGTGGTCTTTTTAAGCAAATCCGTTAGTGGTGCGGCAATGGTGGAGTAGCCTTTGATAAATCTCCGGTAGTAATTGATGAGGCCCAAAAAAGAGCGCAACTCGGTAACCTTTGTTGGGGCTTCCCAGTCCGCAATAGCCTTCACCTTGGCTTTGTCCATGATAAGCTTCCCATCCGTGATCTTGTGGCCGAGAAACTCTACCTCTGACTTGGCTAATAAGCACTTCTCCTGCTTGACATATAGTTCATTTTCTTGCAACACTAGGAAAACTGTTCGCAAGTTTTCGACATGCTCCTCAAGAGTGTTGCTATACACCACAATGTCGTCAAGATAGATCACCACGAACCGATCAAGATATGGATGGAAGATGTGGTTCATGAGGGTGCAAAATGTGGCAGGGGCATTGGTAAGGCCGAATGGCATGACTTTCAAAGGCTCTGTAACGCGTCACACATGCGGTCTTTGGCTCGTCCCCTTTCGCAATCCGCACTTGGTAATACTCTGATCTCAAATCAAGCTTAGAGAAATACTTGGCCTGTCCAAGTTGATCAAACAAATCGGCAATTAGAGGAATAAGATACTTGTTTTTTATAGTTACCTTATCGAGTGCCCGATAGTCGATGCAAAGGCGAAGTGACCCATCATGCTTCTTCTGAAAGAGAATCGGAGCTCCATATGGTGCTTTCGAAGGCTTGATAAATTCGGCTTCTAAGAGTTCTTTGAGTTGTCTCCGCAACTCGTTTAGTTCTGGTGGCGACATCCGGTATGGAGCTTTGGCGGGTGGCTTAGCTCCTGGTTCTAACTCGATCTTATGGTCCACCTCCCTCCTAGGTGGTAGGCATTTCGGCAACTCGAGTGGCATGACATCCTTATACTCTTCAGGGACTTGGGATATTTCCTTCGGTACCGGCTCCACGGTGTCCACATCTCCTTCATCTTCCAACGCATGCACCATGGCAAGAAAGGTCTCTTCTTTCCGCTTAAGTCCCTTCTCGATTTGCATTGGGGAGAGTTGGCTGCTTGGTGCGGCCTTGCTCACTGTTGGAACCATGCATGAAACTCCCTCCAAGATGCAAATAGAGTTGTATCGCGGTAGGGGCACCGCATTGAATTGCCTGAGAAACTCCATGCCAAACAAGGTTAAAATCATCTAAAGGTGCAACAAAAAATGTTACCTTGCCGCTCCATGTGCCAAGATGTAGCTCAACATTCCGAGCCATGCCCCCAAGTGGTTTTGCTTCAGCATTCACCGTCTTGAGCCATCTGTCTGATTTCTCCACCATGAGGCCTAACTGTCTTGCCTCGTTGTCTTTGATGAAGTTGTGGGAAGCATCCGTGTCCAATAAGGCTTGAACTTTCTTCCTGTTGATGGTGGCTTCGACATGCATCAGGGACTTATCCTGAACTTTAGGTTGTGCGAGCTTTACCTTCAAGGCATTGAGAAGTTGGAGGCACCCTATGTTGGCGGTTTTGGATGCGGGTGTCTCAGGTTGCTTCTTTTCGAACATGGCATTGAAGGCCTTGCGCTTGGGGCAATCTCGGATCCAATGATCCCCATCACACAGATAACAGTTCTCCCAGTGCTTGTATTCCTTCTTGCCATCTTTCTGCCATTCCTTCTTGTGAGACGGTTTGTCTCCCTTTTCTCGATGGGATGGTTTGTCTCCCTTTCCTCCCCCACCTTTGCCGTAATCGGACTTGCCATCTTTCTTTGGCTTGGATGATTCGCCCTTGCGGAACTCAACAAGGGTGTCGGCTTCGGTAATGGCAGTGGAGATGTTGGTAACTTGATGCCTTTAGAGCTCCCTTTGTGCCCAGGGTTGGAGCCCCTCTATAAAGTTGAATAGCAAATCTTCCGAGTTCATATTATCAACTTGAAGCATAAGTTTAGAGAACTCATCCACATACTTGGAAATAGGCCCCGTGTGCTTAAGCTCCCGCATCATCTTCCGTGCTTCATATGCTACGTTGCCCGAATAGAATTGTTTCTTGATCTCACACTTGAGTAACTCTTAAGTGTTAATGGTGCATGTACCTTGCACAATCTCGGCATGCTTCCATTGCCACCATGCGATAGGATGATCCTCAAGGTACCCGGTTGCGATGTTCACCCTCTCCTGCTCACTTTGGACATTAGTAGCTTCGAAGTACCTCTCCATGGACCATAGAAAGTTCTCCAGCTCTTGGGCATCCCGCTTTCCCCCATACTTCTGCGGTCTTGGAACTTCGACCCTTGCAGGAGGTGAGCATTGGTGACGACCGCGTTCACCACTGCCTTCTTGCAAAATGCCCAATCGCCCTTGCTTTCCTCTAGACCCGATCGGAGCTCTTCCACTTGAGCTTGTAATACCCTGAGAGAGTCCAACATCACCGCTTGGAACTCCGTGAAAGCTTGGTGCTTCTCGGCAACATCTTGGCGAAACTCCCCCATGGTTTCGACCATCCCTTCCATATCGTCCATCTTTTGATCGAGGACGTTGAGGTGTTCCTTCACTTTGGCAACGTTCACCTCGTTGTGCATCACCCGCGCTTCCATGGAGGCCATCATGTCCATGGACTCGTCCTTCCCTCCTCGAGAGTTCTTCTTGGAAGGGTTGGGGTTAGGATTGGCCTCCCTCCCCCTTTGCTCTTCATGGCAAACTTCGGACGACATCTTGAACCAAGAATCTTCCCGCTCTGATACCAAATGTAACGACCCGATCGCTTCCCTTCGGAGTCGTGCGGCCTTAGGTGCTAATCTCCCGACGATTGCCCTAAGTCAGCCTTGCTTACTCACGCTTCTAGCCTTGTAAGTAAGAAAACACTCACACAAACTCACTCACAAAGGATGCTAGAAAGAGAACTCTTTACTAATGAGAGAACTTTACAATTCTTGGATGGTTTGGCCAAATGAAGACCTCCCCCCTTTATAGTAGTTGGAGCTTACAATGGACGGTCTAGATCTCCCGAGATCAACGGTGGAGATTAGCTAACTCTAAACTACCACCTACCAACTATCATCTACCAACTACCGTATTAATTACAATATTCTAGCATATACAAAAGTATTCCGGAAGCTTTTAGAATATCAGGGTGATGTACACCAAGTGTTTGATGACGTCACACTAGTCACATGCACACCCTCAAATCTCGTCAATCCCTGACCTTACGGAATAATCCAAAAATGGCATTCTTTCCCGAGCAAGATATTCCCACCAATCTAACATCACTTTATGTTGATGGTGCCGAAATCTACAACTCACTTGCTGAGTGGGGCTTCCACAATCTCATCTCTCTTAGAGAACTCCATATCGAGGGATCCCCAAACGCATTGTCCTTTCCAGAAGAGGAGAAGGGAATGAAGTTGCCAGCCTCTCTAATTCATCTAAAATTAGAAAAATTTCCAAAACTGAAATACCTATCTTCCAAGAGTTTCCAGAATCTCACCTGTCTTGAAAACCTGGATATCTTTTATTGCCCAAATCTTGCATCCTTGCCACACCTTCCATCCTCGCTTCTGCAACTACATATTTTTCATTGTCCATTACTGAAGAAACGGTGCGAAAGTGGTGAAGGACAAGACTGGTCCAAGATAGCCCACATCCCTGACAGCAGGTTCATCTAGATCCAGAGGAGGAACAATGATGTCCATTTGGTATCAGAAACAATGGAAAATTCCGAATCACTTCATACTTAGGGGCTATTCAGGTCTGTCAATTTCTAGAACCCACACCATTAACTTTTATCAAGACAAATTAGATTTTTATTAAACAGACTGTTGATGAATAATTATGTGCTCCTGCAGGAACCTACTGGAAAGTATCAACTTGAATGCTTATGCCAGCGGTAAGCTTTACCATATGGTTTGTCGAATTATAACAAGAATCATCTAAATAGTAGAATTTGTTGTTTATATTGCAATTTAAAGTGATTTGAGCATTCCCTAAACTTGGAATCTTAAAGGTTGATTGGATGGTTTTTACTATTGTTCAACTCTGTTAAAACAAAGGCTGATACAGAGCTCACCGCATTGCACAAATAATGCAAGTTTACTTTTTCATTCATCTTTCTAGTAACACAATGTAAGAGGTTTCAATTCTGTTTTATTCCCTGTTAGTGATATTTCATGCATCATTTTGAAAATAGTCCTCTCCATTTGACATTTGTTTTTCTTTTTTCAGAGTAAGCAAGTGGACTATTTTATACTCGGTTCCTGAAGTTATCCTTTTCTTTGCCTCATGCATTCTTCTAACTATTGTTGGTAAAAAGTAAGAAAAAGAAATGTGGATTGAGTCAAATTCTGATGTTTTGCAATTTTTGATACATATGATTTTCATAGTTATTGAACTTTCTATATACTTTGGTCGGGGTCTCTTTACAGATGAGTCAAATTCTGATGTTTTGCAATGGTACGCTATGCTTGGTGGAGCTCCAGTTGATTTTAGCCAATTACAGGTATAGGCAGCATGGATTATGCTTCAAAGGATAAACTTCAGGAGTTATTTATGGACTTTAACTCTGAAAGTTATTTCTCGTAAGTGAAGTCAACAGAACTAAGTTGTTAGCAGTTCAAGATCTTATATGCAGTCTACAACAAAAGGGTTTTGGTGATTTTAAGTTGTTGGCCTACTACAGTTGTTTTTCAAAAGTTTCTGCAACTGTCTTGTGGAGTTTCTGCAATTCTTTGAGAGGGGCTGGTGCCCAAATATGGGAATTTTTGTTGCTGAAGAATCTGCTAAAGCCTTTCCAAGGTTGTGAATTTCTAGTCCTATAAACATGCTTCTTTAGTGTCCATTTTGCTGATATTTCTTGCTTTTATAAGACTAAGCTAAGGTAAAGTTATATTGATTGTCCTTTCCCAACCTCAGTCTGTCATCGTCTCTTTTGCAATTACTTATGATTGATTGTCCTTGGCAGGAAAAAATACAGTACAAAAGGGATGACAGACAAGACTGTCCAAGATAGCCCACACCCCCTTGTGTTAAGATAGACGGCGAGTTCATCTATGATCCGGATGAAGAAGAATTAACTTGATTTGATCTGCCTACTACAGTTAGTTGAAAGTTTTGCTACCGCATTTTGCAATTTTGTGTAGAGGTGTTGGTGTTGACTGTTGAATTACCAGAATTTTTGTTGCTGAAGAATCTCTTGAAGCCTTTCCAAGGTTATGATTTGCTATGCCTATGGCCATGACTTATTTTTCTTTGCAGAAATGAGCTTTTGATATTTGTTCTTGTTATAAGACTAAATTACTTTGGCGTTACGATATTTTTAATCTCACATTCCTGCCAAACCTTGGTAACCACCCTCACATGTGCAATTTGCAGGGAAAGAACAGGGCAAAGGTGACCAAGACGAGTGCGGTTCAAGATAGCATAAATATCTTATGTTAAAATAGGTCAGAATTTCATCTATAATGCGTAATGAATGAACTGCATATCACCTTCTCAATTCACCTTCTGCTCTCTCAGGTTTGTCAAGTTCTGTTACGTAGACCGTATGAGTTGATGTTATGGATCAAAGGACTTAAAGTGAGCTATGATTGCAGAGGTCTAAAATATTTCTTTCTCTAATTTATGATACTCCCTAAATCATTTATGTTTCATAGATTTTCATTTCAATGCCAAAATTAATAATTATTGAACTCTTTAGACATTGAGCTATTATATATAAAGGTTTTCTAAAAATCCAGTTGGTTTGTGTTTGGTGGATGTATAGGTAGCTCTTACTGATGAAACATGAGGGGCTGATTCAGATCGTGGGAGATAGACAATGAAACACTCTTTTCGGTGGAGATGAATCTACGCAATAGGTTCGGAATCAGACTTGAGAAAGTTACTTGCGAAACATGAGGGGCTGATTCAGATTGTGGGAGATAGACAATGAAACACTCTTTTCGGTGGAGATGAATCTACGCAATAGGTTCGGAATCAGACTTGAGAAAGTTACTTGCGAAACATGAGGGGCTGATTCAGATTATGGGAGATAGACAATGAAACACTCTTTTCAGTGGAGATGAATCTACGCAATAGGTTCGGAATCAGACTTGAGAAAGTTACTTGCAATGAAACAGGTCATCAACACAAATGGAGAATGGTAGATGAAAATTCTACTGCAAGTGTCACAGTGACTCTTTTGTTTGAAACACTTTCTACTGCCAATTTTTCTAGCCACAAGGACACCATCAAATCTCTTTAATGCCTAGCCTTATATGAATGTCCAAATATGGCTTTCTCTCCTGAACAAATTCCCACCAATCTTGTTGGATATGGTTAATACTTTGCATGGGCTTGAAGTTCCTTACGTAGACGTATTCGGGGGTCCCACTTGCTGGTGAGTGGGCGGGTTACCCCCTTCACGGTAGTCCAATTAGTAATTGGACTTGTTATTGTTTTACTAATATTTGGGTCTAGGTGTGGTTAAATTCGGGTAGGCCCAAATGAGATAGGGTTTCCTATTATATGATGTAGTAATAAGAAACCAGGGGTTTAAGACAAAATAGAGAGAGTGAGCTACGGTTATTAAGATTGTAATTTCAGAGTTTTAAAACATAATACAAAATCTCTATTTGAATGCTAAACGTAAATCCTTAATTGAAATGAACCAGGGTAAATCAAGTTTCCATTTACTTTTTCTGTTTTATTTTATTGTGTGCGTTTGTTTTGCTGTGGTTTCAACAAATCTAACATCACTTGAGGTTGAAGATCCCAACATCTACAACTCACTGGCAGGGTGAGGCTTCCGCAAACTCACCTCTCTTAGAACACTCAGGATTTGTAAATACCCAAATGCAGTCTCTTCACTAGGGGAGGAGATGGGGTTGCCAACTTCTCTAACTTCTCTGATAATTGAAAGCTTCACAAAATTGAAATACATCTCTAACTTCTCCCAAGGTTTTCCAAAATCTCACCTCTCTTCAAGGGTTGTCAATCTGTGGTTGCCCAAATCTTACATCCTTACCAGACCTTCCATCCTCGCTTCTGCGACTATATATTGGAGGTTCTTCTGTGCTGAAACAATGATGCAAAAGGAATGAAGGACAGGAGTGGTCAAAGATAGCCCACATCCCTTGTGTTAAGATGGATTGAAAGTTCATTTTTAGAAACTGTGGAAATGGCTGGATCGGTCAATCACCTCACTTCATTCTTATGGGCTATTCAGGTTAGTCAGTCTCTGGAACCCACACCATTAGCTTTTATCAAGACCATTTAGATTTTAAAAAACAGAGATTTATTTAATACTTTGTTGCTCGTACAGGAACCAACTCATAAGTATGAAATCTGGGATGCAATATGAATTCTCACTGCTGATTTATCAAAGTCTAAAAAGTTTTAAAATAATGTAAGAGTAAATATTTGTTGTTATATTGAAGTTTTAGAGTGTTATGACCATGCCTAAACTTGTTGTAGTAGGCTATCTATCAGACAGTTCTACAATTTTTCAGCTCTGTGAAAACAGGGGTTAATAGCAGAGCTCACCACATGGACATAAAACTTAATTTAAATTTATATATGGCTAATTTTCATTCATCTTGCCAGTAATATAATGTAAGAAGCTGCAATTCTATTCTATTCCCTGTTAGTGATATTTCAGGCCCATTTGTTGATCATCAAAATTATGCTTCGGCTTGGAATCTGAATGTTCTCACATCAATTTGAATATAGTATCTCATTTTGCATTTATGTTTCTTTTGTTTGTTTAAGGTTATTTTTTTATATTTCATTTCGGTGGAAGCCAGTGGACTAGTTGAAACTCTATTCCTGAAGTTAACCATTTCTTTGTGCCATTGATTCTTCTAATTATTATTCAATGAGTCAAATTCTAATGTTTTGCATCCATAGATACTGAACTTTTTTTTATACTATGAACACCAAATTTGGGTTCTTTTTATAGATGGAACTACATGTTGATGAAACTTAAAAAGAAAGCCATGATTGCAGAGGTAATGTCCTGTTTCTTCTAATGTCTTTTCATTCAATCAGTGGCTTTTGGCATTGAACTGATACCGAGGTTTTGTAAAAAGCTCAGTTTAGATGTCGAAGGAAATGGTACACAATTTTGGCATTGAACTTACCCTTTATCTCTTGAGTTTTGTTAAACTAATTAATCAAACCATTAATTTTAATCAAACACTGATCTATTATTGATTGGATTATGTTAGACCTCCCATACACAAGGTCTATAAATCCAAGGGCAGGGGAAGGAATAGGAGTTAGGGTGCGTTGAGAGTGAGTTTGTTAAGGGGTGGTGAGGTGTGCAACGAGGGTGAGTTGTTAAAGCATGGTGAGGTTGTTATGAGAATGGACACGTGGCTGTCAAGTAGTTACAGAATAGAATAATTAGCTTATAAGAGGGAGAGAGTGAGGGAGGTAGGATATCAAGGATTTCTTCATAGGACTGAATGGGAGGTCCCAGCTCCTCGAATTGCTGGGAATCTGTCTGTTATCTCAATTGTTCCTGTTTTATGATCATTCAGTACCAATTAATGCAATCTACTATTTTCTCTATTTTGTGCGTGTTCTTTGCTGTGTGTTGTGTGTTGCTATGATTCACTGATTTGCAGGAGAGTTCCATCAGATTATCTTTCAATTTTCTTTTTGTGAAATTTCGTGGAGGGTGACCGGCTGATTATATAGGCTAGTAGAAGTCAAATGACTTGGGCTGATGCTTGAAAATTTACTAAAACAAACACACTATGGACCACTAGGAAGAAAAAAACAAGTCATTAAAAACCAATGCTTTGATTTGATTTGAGGTTGAATTGAATTATTGCAATGGTGGAGCCAAGACTTTAAAACCAAAGTTGCAGATAGTTACTTGGACTCTCTGCTTTATGAGTACGCTGTCCATTTTCCATTTCCTTTATATTTCATAATGAACACTTGACTCTTGGATGTCCGTTTTCCTTTTCATTATTATTCATAGAAAATAAAAAACCTCTCAAACTTTTCAGTTTCTGAGTCTCTTTCTTCTTCTTCTCTATATCTATTCTCCTAATTTCTCCTTTTAATTTCTTATCACAAATTCACCTAACTCTTAAGACAACTCAAACACCAATTCCCATCTTCATTTCTTAACTCTCCTTTACACTACTATCCATTCTTCCAAATCAACCACACCCCCAGAAAAAAAAAAAAAAAAAATCAGTTTGGCAATAGTGAAGCTTAGTAGAAGTGCTTGCTTGTAGAATCGACTGTTAAGAAATCCAGAAGACCGTCATATCACAAATTTCAGGTAAGGAAAAACAACCTTCATATCACCACCACAGCTGAATTAATTGTCATGTCTAAGCGCTCTTGATTCATGCTTAAAGTGTTATAGTTTATTGCAGTTGAGTTTGCAATAGTTCAATAATCCATAGCGGAAAACTGGTTTCTCTTACTTCCACTCTGACTGTTCTTAATAATTATCAATGGTGTGAAATAGAACTCCAAGAATCCATGGTTTATTTTTTTTTCCTGAATGTCTCTAAATATATATTTAGACAACTGGTAAGGTCGTGTTAGTACCAGACTTGGTTCAAAGGTTCAATTGCACTGTCCTAAAGAAGTTCAATTACTTTTATTACTACAAGAAAATTACATACAAATTAGTAAATAATTATCATCCTTCTCTTTCTTGTTCATTGCTCTTCATCTGATTATCATCCTTCTCTGTATGAGAATTTTAATCCATTCTTATCATTGCTTCCTACGTAGTCAAAACCATGCTACTGGGAGAAGTCTTTCTTGCTTCTTTTCTTCAGGTGTTGTTCGATAGATTGGCACCACGTAAGCTGTCGCTCCTTCCATGTGAAGATGGGATACTTTCAGAGTTGAAGCAGTGGAAGAGAAAGTTCTTAATGATCCAGGCAGTTCTCAACTATGCCGAGGAGAAGCAACTGATGAACGAGGCTGTGAAAATGCGGTTGGAAGATCTTCAAGACTTGGCCTATGATGTGGAGGACATCCTGGATGCGTATGCCACTCAGGTTCTAGAGCGGGAATTGATGACAGAACAATCGACAAACAGAATTGTTGATTATTTCTCTTCTTGGACTCCAAGTGCTCTGATTTCCCAGGTTGATATGAAGTCCAAGATAGAAGAGATAGCTTGCCGTTTAGAAGATCTCTGTGAAAATAAGAATTATCTTGGGCTGAAAGAGATTGCTGGAGGCTCATCTACTGTTGCATGGCAAAGACCACCTAGTACATGTGTGCCAACTGAACCAACAGTTATCGGAAGAGATACTGATAAAGCCAAGACACTTGAAATGGTGTTAAGCAATAAACAGAGTGGTGGCAGCTTTCATGTAATACCCATTGTTGGCCTAGGAGGAGTTGGCAAAACAACACTTGCTCGGGAGGTGTACAACGACAAGGCAGTGGCGGATTTCAATCCAAAAGCATGGGCATGTGTTTCGGATGATTTTGATGTTATGGGAATTTCCAAGGCAATTCTTGAGTCAATCACTTCATCATCTTGTAGTCTACAGAACTTAAATGAAGTGCAGGTTCAGTTGAAAAACAAAGTAACTGGAAAAAAATTCCTCCTTGTATTAGATGATGTTTGGAGCAGAGATTATGGCTTGTGGGAAACACTTAAGTCTCCCTTCATGGCTGGGGCACCTGGAAGTAGGATAATTGTGACGACACGCAGCGTTGATGTAGCTTTAACAATGGGACAGAGTGAATATTATAAGTTGAAACTTCTTTCAAATGATGATTGTTGGGGCATATTCGAGAAGCATGTATCTGGGAGCACAGCTGTTGTTTCAGGCCAGAATATGAATTCAATTCGTGATAAAGTTGTTGAGAAGTGTAGAGGGTTACCCTTAGCAGCCAGGACTCTTGGGGGTCTTTTACGATCTAAGCAAAGATATCATGAGTGGGAAGATATATTGAACAGTAAATTATGGGATTTACCTAAAGAAAATGGCATTCTCTCTATTTTGAGACTAAGCTATCATCATCTTCCTTCACATTTAAAAAGGTGTTTTGCTTATTGTGCTATTTTCCCTAAGGATTATGAATTTATGGATGAGGAACTTATTCTATCATGGATGGCAGAAGATCTTATTCAACAATCTAAAAACAAGCATCTGGAAGACTCAGGTCGTCAATATTTTCGTGATTTACTGTCGAGGTCAATATTTCAATGGTCAAGTATTAATGGTTCAAAATCTATAATGCATAATCTTGCCAATGATTTGGCTCAATGGATATCGGGAGAAACAAGTTTTAGATTGGAGGGTGAATTCAGTATCATGTCAATGAAAAGACTTGATAGAATTCGACATTCTTCTTACACATTTAGAGATTATGAAGTAAAAAAGAACTTTGAAGTTCTCTATAAAGTTGAGTCCCTAAGGACATTGCTGAGAATATTCTTGCCATTGAGGTACGAAGATAAAACTTACGTTACTATGACCATTTTTTCAGATTTATTGCCAAAACTCAAAAAATTGAGAGCACTATCTTTAACAAAGTATCATGTGATGGAACTACCCAACTCCATTGGAGATCTAAGACATCTAAGGTATATTAACCTTTCAAAAACTCTGATAAAATGTTTACCTGAGTCAACATGTTTACTATTCAATTTACAAAGCTTGATGTTAAGAAATTGTCCTTGTCTGGAGAAGTTGCCTTCACACATGGGAAATTTGATCAATCTATGCCATCTTGATATTAGAGGGTCCATATTAATAAGAGAGATGCCATTGGGAGTGAAAAAATTGAAATGTTTGAAGACACTGTCAAATTTTATTGTTGGTAAAGGTATTGGATCTAGCTTGAAGGATTTGAAAAGCTTAAAGTTTCTTTGTGGAGAGGTCTGCATTTCAAGTTTAGAGAATGCAGTGGATTGTCAAGACACAACAGAGATGATATTGTGCGAGAAGGACTTAAAAGTGTTGGTACTGGAATGGTGTTCTTCCAACCCCTCGCAAGATGAAGCTGTGAAAGTGGTTCTTGACATTTTACAACCTCATAAAAATCTTAAAGAGCTCACAATAAAAAATTATGGCGGCCAAAAACTTTCATCTTGGATAGGAGATCCATCGTTCTCCAACATGGTGGTTTTGAAATTGGATGGATGTGAAAACTGCACAACCTTGCCTTCCCTAGCATTGCTGGGCTCACTTCAGAATCTCACAATTAGATTGATGGGAAAAATAAAAAAGATTTGTGGTGAGATCTATGGAGAGGGTTGCTCAAAGTCTTTTCAATCGTTGTGAACTCTTTCTTTTGAGAATTTGCAAGAGTGGGAGCATTGGGACCGTGTAGAAAATGACCATGTCCAAAGATTCCCTTGTCTCCAAAAACTTTCAATTTCTCAATGTCCTAAACTCTCTGGAAGATTACCTGATCATCTCCTTTTATTGGATAATCTTGTGATTAATGGGTGTGAGCACTTAGAGTTTTCATTTTCAAGCCTTCCAATGCTCAGATCATTAGAAATAAATAGATGCAAAGGCATGGTTTGTTGTAGTCCAGTTGATTCAAAGGCACTAAACTCCATGAGTACAGGTGGAGAATCAAACTTTCCAGTGTTTAAGAGTTGGTCAAGGACAGGATTTCAGAAACTAGAACATCTGTCAATTGTTGGCTGTCAAGAGCTCATACATTTATGGCCAAATAAGATTTGTCCAGAGAATGCACCACATGGGTTGAGTTGCTTTACCTCCCTTCAAGAGCTGCATTTAAAAGAGCTCTGGAATCTTGTTTCGTTTCCAGATGGGTTACTTTCAATCTTGAGCAGAGTTACCATCAGCCAATGTGATGGCCTACATCCTTGCATGAGGGGTTGAAGCATAACAATGCGCGTCTGAAGTATTTATGAGTTTGTGGTTGTCCTTCTCTAACATTCATTGTGAGGGACCGTTTGCCTTCATCTCTAAAAGAGCTTACTATTATTAGATGTGAAAATTTGGTGTGCGTTTTGGATGATAGAGAAGATATTTGTACTTCTTCTCCAACTTCTTCTTATTCATTGGTACACAGGGATGACGTGGACAACACCAGCACATCTCTTCTCTACAAATTAAGCATACAGGAATGCCATTCTCTGACGCATTTATCATCAACAGACCAGTTACCTTCAACACTAGCGGAGCTTTTTATTTCACACTGTTCAAATCTCGGAACCTTGGGACAATTATCTAATGGACTTGTGTCCCTTTTTATTAACAAGTGCCCAAAGCTAGAGTCACTAGCAGCCGGGAGTTTTGACTGTAACATGCCTATTGAGATTCTTTCTATCGAGGGATGTGAAAACCTTAAATCCATTTGGGAGGGCTTACACACTCTTTGCAAACTACGTCTCATGATATCCATGAGTGGCCAAGTCTTGTTTCATTTCCAAAAGATGGGCTTCCTGACACTGATTTAGAAGTATGTATCTCTGGGTGTGAGAAATTACAAGCCCTACCTAGCCGCATGCACAACCTCAAATCTCTTCAAGAGCTATCCTTATGCCTATGTCCTAATATCGAATCCTTTACAGCAGAGGATTTCCCCTTCAACCTAAAATCACTTGCACTTCCTCTCAGTATCTGCAAGCCACTGACTGAGTGTGGTTGCCACAAACTTACTTCTCTTAGAAGTCTCACAATTTGGGGATTACCTGATGCATTATTTTTTCCAGAGGAGAAGATCATAGAAATAAAGTTTCCCATCTCTCTAATTTATCTGGGCATTGTTGACTGCCCGAAATTGAAATACCTATCTTCCAAAAATTTCCAAGTTCTTCCATCTCTTGAAGTTTTGACTTTCAGTCATTGCCCAAATCTCAGATCCTTGCTAGATCTTCCATCCTCACTTTTGTCGCTATATATTTATAAATGTCCTTTGATTAAAAAAGAGTGCAAAAGGAATGAAGGACAAGAATGGTCCAAGATAGTTTACATCCCTTGCGTTAAGGTAGATGATAAATTCATCCACACTCTGGAAGAGGAAATGAGCTGAATCCGATAGTAATTTATTCCATCATTGTAATCAATTTAGGTAAGTCAATTTTTAGCTCATAGAACACTTGTTATTATTAAGAGAATTTAGAGTTTTACAAAACCGAGTGCACATTAATAATTTTGTCAGTTCATGCAGGGAGAAATTGAATAGTCTGACTCCTGGATGCAAAAATGCCAACATTGCAATGGCAGTGGTAAGCTTTACCATCTGGTTTCTTAAGAAAATTTTAAGTCACACTTTTGACTAATTAAATCTAATGACAGAATTGGTTAAGTATTTTCATTTCGTTCATTTCTAATAGTACTCTAAGCTCTTTAAGCACTGAGTTGGTACCAAGGTTTGTGTTTGGTTGACAGGTATTTTTTCTTCCACCTAGTAATTCATAGAGCTTAATTTGGATATGGAAGACAATGATACACCATGTAGATTACAGAGCTTTGGAGGTGTTGGTGTTCAAATTTTGCAGTCTAGATTGCTGTAGTGCTATGGGAATATCAGTGAAGATTCTGTTGAAGCCTCTCAAAGGTTCCGATTTGCTAGGCCTAGATCCACATTTTCTAATTCAATATCAAAAAAATCAGCAGCTAATTCATAACTCTTACGTAGTAAATTATTGTCCTTTGCAGGAAAAAAGAAAAAAGAAACAGCAATCCACAAGAGGAAGAATGGAGATTCAATTCATTATTTAGGGGATGCCCTTGTACTCTTTTCAGGTCTGACAAATTCTTTTTCCTAAATGGTACAATTATTTACTATCAGAATGATCTAGATATTTTATGTAACTGGGTATTATTTACGAAACAATTGTAGGAAGAAACCAACTTTAAAAACATTATGTCAACATTGCAATTGCAATGGAATGCTTTATCATATCACATGTGTTAGGTAATTAAAAAGAATTTTGGTTTCTCCGTTTGATTTAATACAAAACCAATAGCTATCATACTAAAATTTTTTTATACCATTTTTCAGCTCAATGAAGAAAGAGGCTAACAACCGAGCTCACCACGTTGTGGATACAACAATACAAGTTAAGATGAACTCTTCAATGTCTTCGTTCATCTTACTAGTAACTTGATTTTAAGAGGTTTTAAGGCTATTCAATTCTTGATGTATTTATTTGAAGTGTTCTTATTTGTTCATTTAATTTAGTTTCAGAGGGACTAGAGTACAGCTTTCTGTCAGAATTTGAAGCTTAAGGGCTTGCTGCAATTAACTGCTTTTTCACCTCCTTTGATTCTTCGAAAGTTTGAACTGCTTTGCTTGTAAGGTAATCAACAGGAATTTGTGGAGTAACTCAAAATTCTTGATGTTTTGCAACTTTTTTATATTCATAATAACCATAGATACCGAACTTTCTTTATACTGTATAAAGTCACACAGTTGGAATGTCTATACTAGTTAACTGGTTATTGACATCTATGTTAGTTTTGGGGCATGCTGGTGGCAATTTTAGGGGCTTCTCATCGTCTCAATATATGGTCATCGGAGAAATTGAATAGGAAAATTGTTTAATGGCCTGGCATGCCATATTGTGTATACCTTAAACCTTCTAAACCTGAATCCGAATGCTCTAACATGAATTGGTAACTCTAATTTGGGAGGGTTTTGGTTCCTGAGTTTAGAGAATATTTTGCAAGAAATTATGGACATTAGTAGAGAGAACCTAATTATTAGCTGTTGCATGTTGCATTCTGAATATCTTGCCGATGTACATCCTTCATCTATATCACTTAGACAATCAGAAGTATGCTATGTTTCCTTGAAAATAAATCGTGTTATTATGTGACTTTCTTTATGCAGGTTCTGTGTAGCAGTTCTCCTTGCTCTGTAATACCTCCATATGCTTGGGATTGTTTACTGGAACCTTAAGCCAGAAAATGTTCCTGTAAGAGAAGATGGACATATAATGGTCTTTGACTTTGATCTTTCCCTTCGATGTGCTGTCAGCCCAACAGTAGTGAAGGCGTCGATACTCTGGTCTGAAACCCTGAAAAAGAATCCAGTTTATTGCATTCGACATGCCTGCATCAAGCCCTCGTGTGTCCAACCATCATGTCTTGGCCCTACAATTTGTTTTTCTCCTCAATTCTTTTGACAATCCAAGAAAGTTCAGAAACCAATACCCCACTGCCAGAACTTATTGCTGAGCCAACCAACACAGCGCTCCATGTCGTTTGTGGGAACTCACAAGTACCTGGCACCTGAAACCATCAAAGGTGAAGGGCATGCAGTGCTGTTGATTGGTTGACTTTTGGGATCTTTCTGTATGAACTATTATTTGGTAAAACTCCCTTCAAGGGCTCCGAAAACAGGGTACCCTGTTTGATGTTGTTAGCCAATCACTGAGATTCCCCAAGGCACCAGTTGTAAGTTTTTCAGCTAAGGATTTGCTAAGGGGCTTGCTGGTGAAAAAGCCACAGCATAGGTTGGCATATAAGAGAGGAGCAACCAAAATCAAACAACATCACTTCTTTCAAGGGATAAATCGGGCATTGATTTGTTGCACAAAGCCCCCTGAGACCATAAGACCGGTTGGAATTGAGAAGATTCAAACCCCGGCCTTACAAACGTCTGCTAAAGCTGCCGCTGCCGCTGCTACTGCTATCTCCTATCACAATAAGTATTTGGAATTTGATTCTTTCAATTTACTCTTTGTTTTTTCACTCGAGGGAAAATATAGAGTTCCAAAATGTTGATGGTGTTAAAATATAATTCTTATGCTGTAATGATTAAATATATGATGTTGTAACATTTTTAAATTTGAATGTTGTAACAAACTGCTTCAGGAAGATGTTGCTGAATGGAAACTCTTGATTTCTTGAGTTCAAATATTGTCAATCTAAAATTAATTGATCACTCATTTGAGAAAGTGACCAAGAACTAATCAACCTTTTAGTTTATTTATGATTTCTTCTGTGAGAAGTGTTGTCAACCAACAGAGAAGACCAAGATTTATTAGTCCTGGTGGCCAGATCGACCACTTGCTTCATTTGGAAAACTGTGTAGAGAAGTCAGAGTACACAGTATTCCACCTAAATGTTTTAGCAACCGGCTAAAATTTATTTTTCATGCACCAGATGTCAAGGTCTTACAAAAAAAATCCAGTTGATTTTGTTGTGGTAATCGATCATAAGCTCTGCAGATAATGTCAGGGAAGGCAGTGGAGTTGGTGTTCGATTGTTTGAATTATAGCCACCGGAAACTAATGGGATTTTTGCTGAAGATTCGATTATAGCCTTCTAGAGGCATGATTTTCTAGACCTTAAGGCCATGTTTTGTAGTTTTCTGCAGTTAATGATACACTCTGCTTGATACGACACAGTTGAGATGATTTTAGACCAATACTAGTAGACACTTCAAAGACCATGCATGAGAGATGTGTTTTGATGATTATGAGATGTTGGCCTACGACCCGCAGTTGCTTTTTTAAATGTTTTAGCAACCGGCTTCCTTAGCTACTCGTTCCTGGAGTTCTTCCTGAGGTGCGAGTACATCAATGTTTGCAGAAAAGTTGTGGGAATGCTAACTCTCTTGTATTGTAACTTAAATTTGTCAATTTCTTCGTTAAGAAAAATACCTTCCCTTTATTTTGTAACCTTTTGTATATATCATCATTTGTCTTTGTATTTGTAAGTGGAGTTAAAAATAGAAATGAGTAGAGAAAAAGATGGGGCCGTGCTCGTGTCATACAACTCCCAAAACTTGTTTGAGGGAAAATATTATGCACTTGTGTTTTCTCTATTCAAATAGTGGATTATAATCATTGTTTGTGGATGTATACTAGCCTGAACCACGTAACTCTAATTTATACTTTTAGGTTTTGATTTTACCTGATTTCATTTTATTTTGAAGGAATTGGTTAACATGTATAAGGAAAGATGGACAAAAAATACGTACATACATATATGTATTGCTTCTTGGAAGTCATCGTAAAAAAATATTTATAAGTTGATCAATTTGTTCTTTGCTTACCTGTTATCTCTTGAGTTTTGTTAAACTAATTGTAAGTATTTTTCTCAACTTATGAAATTTGTGTGTGCACGTTCATTTCTGATCTTTTTCTTTAAGCACAATCGTGTCTTTTCTTTACACATGTCATGACATTTGGATTAGATGGGTGCACATTACCTTAGACTATTTTCATTGCATAATATGTGGCCACATTAGAATCAGATGTGTCAACAGTCGCCAATCAAACCTTTAGCACAAATGTCAAGTTTTCATTAGTTGTTAAGATATTTTTCCTGGCCTAAGATATGCATGAGTGGTCTATATACGGGTGTCAAATATCTCAGATGTGGAAATAGAAATTTGTTTTGCTTTTCAGACGTGGTTCTAACAAGTTGAAAACTTTCTCAAAATAGCCAAACATGTGCAAGGCTTTGTTGGTTGACTGTCTAGTAGTTCGTTGAGCAAGGTTTCTATATAATATCTCGTCCCCTTGCATTTACGTTTGAACCAGAATATTCATTGTGTTGTTCTCTAAAATTCGTTAGAGAGTTTTATCGTCTGGTCAGGTTCCTTTTATGATATATTGCTTATTATTTTGTTGAACTCATCTTGTTGTTGAGAGCTTGTCTGAGCCTAAATATTCCTCACATTGTTCTCTGAAAATCCTTTGAGGTTTATTTCATAGTTGGTCAGGTTCCTCATGCTTTGGTAAGCTTTAAAATACCTACTTAACCTTTGTTGTTTAAGTGTTGTTGGAACATGGTTCTATTGATGAAAGCTTGGTGGGATTTTGAGCGGTTGGAGCTGAAGTGTGTCTTTGGCATTGAAGCTTGAGTGGAGCTCCAGCTATTCAAGAGGTGTCTTGGATTCAAGCAAGCTACTTACCCTTTATCTCTCGAGTTTTGTTAAACTAATTAATCAAACACTCATCAAATTATTGATTGGATGAACTTTTACTTTCAAAAAACCACCACTATGAAGTTGAATTATGGCAATGATGGAGCCAAGACTTTTAAAACCAAAGTTGCTGACAGTTCTTGGATTCTCTGCTTTATGAGTACGCTGTCCATATAACATATTCCATATTCCATTTTACTTTTTCTTTATCTTTCATAATGAACACTTGACTCGTGGATTTCCATTTTCCATTTTATTATTCATACTGTACGGTTGAGATAAAAAAGGAAGAAACCTCTAAAACTTTTCATTTTCTGAGTCTCTTTCTTCTTCTCCTAAGTTCTCCTTTTAATTTCTTAACACAAATTCACCTAGCTGTTAAGACAACTAAAACACCAATTTCCATCTCTTCATCTTGCAGACAATGCTTGCTCGCAGAATCGTCTGTTAAGAAATCTAGAAGATCCTCATATCACAAATTTCAGGTAAGGAAAAACAACCTTCATATCACCATCTCTTTATCATGCTTAAACTGTTATAGTTTATTGCAATCGAGTTTGTAATAGTTCAAGAATCCATAGCGAAAAACCAGTTTCTCTTATTTTCCTCTCATTGTTCTTAATAATTATCAAGGGTGTGAAATAGATCTCCATGAATCCATGGTTTTTTTTTTTTTTTCCATGAATGTCTCTGAAATATATATTTAGAAAACAGGTAAGGTCGTGTCAATACCAGATTTGGTTCAAAGGTTCAATTACACTGTCCTAAAAAAGTTCGATTACTGTTATTACTACAAGAAAATTACATACAAATTATTAACTAATTATCATCCTTCTCTTTCTTGATTGTTGCTCTTCATCTGATTATCATCCTTCTCTGTATGAGAATTTTAATTCATTCTTACCATTTCTTCCTACGTAGTCAAAACCATGCCAGTGGGAGAAGTCTTTCTTGGTGCTTTTCTTCAAGTGTTGTTCGACAGATTGGCGCCACATAAGCTGTCGCTCTTTCCATGTGAAGATGGGATATGTTCAGAGTTGAAGCAGTGGAAGCGAAAGTTTTTAATGATCCAGGCAGTGCTCAATGATGCGGAGGGGAAGCAATTGATGAACGAGGCGGTAAAAATGTGGTTGGAAGATCTCCAAGACTTGGCTTATGATGTGGAGGACATCCTGGATGAGTATGCCACTCAGGTTCTAGAGCGGGAATTGATGGCAGAACAATCGGCAAACATATTTGCTGATTACTTCTCTTCTTGGACTCCAAGTTCTCTGATTTCCCAGGCCGAAATGAAGTCCAAGACAGAAGAGATAACTTGTCGTTTAGAAGATCTCTGTGAAGAAAAGAATTATCTTGGTCTGAAAGAGATTGCTGGAGGCTCGTTTACTGTTGCATGGCAAAGACCACCTAGTACATGTGTGCCAACTGAACCAGCAGTTATCGGAAGAGATGCTGATAAAGCCAAGATACTTGAAATGGTGTTAAGCAATAAACGGAGTGGTGGCAGGTTTCAAGTAATACCCATCGTTGGCCTGGGAGGAGTAGGCAAAACAACACTCGCTCGGGAGGTGTACAATGACAAGGCAGTGGCAGATTTCAATCCAAGAGCATGGGCATGTGTTTCGGATGATTTTGATGTTCTGCGTATCTCCAAGGCAATTCTTGAGTCAATCACTTCATCAACTTGCACTCTAACGAACTTAAATGAAGTACAGGTTCAGCTGAAAAATAATATAGCTGAGAAAAAATTCTTGTTAGTCTTGGATGATGTTTGGAGTAGGGATTATGACTTGTGGGAAGCCCTAAAATCTCCGTTCTTGGCTGGAGCACCAGGAAGTAAAATAATTGTAACTACACGTAGCAAGGATGTTGCATCGATAATGGAACTAGAAGTATGTTATAACTTGGAGCTTCTGCCAAAAGATGCCTGTTGGGCCATATTTGAGAACCATGTATCTAGGAGTAGAGTTATTACTGCAGGAAAGAGTATGGAATTACTTCAGGAGAAAGTTGTTAAAAAGTGTAAAGGCTTGCCGTTGGCAGCAAGAACGCTAGCTGGCCTTTTACGCTCTAAGCAAAAATATGATGAATGGGTGGATATATTGGACAGTGAAATTTGGGATTTGCCACAGGAAAGTAATATTCTCCCTGCATTAAAATTAAGTTATTATCATCTTCCATCACATCTTAAGAGATGTTTTGCTTATTCTGCAATTTTTCCGAAGGATTATGAATTCAAGAAGGAAGAACTTGTACTTTTATGGATGGCAGAAGGATTTATTCAACAGTCAAACCATAAAAAGCAACTAGAAGACATAGGCGGCGAGTACTTTTGTGAGTTATTGTCAAGGTCAATTTTTCAACAATTGAGTAATGATAGTTTGAAATTTGTGATGCACGACCTTGTCCATGATTTGGCCCAATGGATTTCTCGAGAAATAAGCTTTAGATTTGAGGATGAATCGAGTGTCATGCAAATAAAAAGAAGTGAAAGGATTCGACACTGTTCTTACACATTTAGAAACTATGAAGTTGAGAAGAATTTCGAAGTCTTTCGTGGAGCTGAGCAACTGAGGACATTCCTGAAAATATTTTGGCCGCCAAAGTTAAAATATCATAGGACTTATGTAAGTCAGTCAGTCTTTCCAAATTTATTGCCAAAGCTCAGAAAATTGAGATCACTATCTTTAATAAATTATGATGTGATTGAACTACCTGACTCAATTGGAGATCTAAAACATTTGAGGTATCTCAATCTTTCTAAAACTCAAATCAGAATTCTACCTGAGTCAACAAGTTCACTATTCAATTTGCAAAGTTTGTTACTAAGTTATTGTTCTAGTCTTGAAAAGTTGCCTTTACAAATGGGAGATCTGATCAACCTTCGTCATCTTGATATTAGAGGTGCAATACTTATAGGAGAGATGCCATTAGGATTGAAAAAATTGAAATGTCTTCAAACTTTATCTAATTTTGTTGTGGGGAAAGGTGTCGGATCTAGTAATTTGAAAGATTTGAAAGAATTAAAGTTTATTCGTGGAGAACTTTATATTTCAAGGTTAGAGAATGCAACTGATTGTCATGAAACAAGAGATTCTATATTGTGTGATAAGAAGGACTTAGAAGTGTTAGTGCTAGAATGGAGTTCTTCTATGCCCTCTCGAGATGAAGAAGAGAAAATTGTTCTCGACATTTTACAACCCCATAAAAATCTGAAAGAGCTCACAATCAATAATTTTGGTGGCAAAAAATATTCATCTTGGATAGGAGATCCATCATTCTCTAATATGGTGGTTTTGACATTGGATGGATGTGAAAGTTGCATAACCTTGCCTTCGATTGGGCTACTGGGCTCACTTAAATACCTCACCATTAAAGGGATGAAAATGCTTAAAAAAGTAGGCTGTGAGATCTATGGGGAGAGTTGCTCAGAGTGTTTTCAATCATTAGAGACACTTTGTTTTGAGAATTTGCCGGAATGGGAGCATTGGGATCCTTTTGAGGAAAAGTTGCATGCTGAAAGTTTCTATTGTCTCCGAAAGCTTTCCATTAAACGATGTCCCAAACTCTATGGAAGATTACCTAACCATCTTCCTTCATTAAAGGAACTTGTGATTAGTGAATGTGAGGAATTTGTTGTTTCCTTCACAAGCCTGCCAAAGCTCTGCTGTTTAAAAATAGAAGGATGCAAACGCGTGGTATGCAATAGTGCAATTGACTTCCAAACACTGAACCCTCTTCCTTTATTGGAGACTGCTATGATTGAGGAATGTGAGGAATTAATGGTTTCTTTCTCGACCCTTCCTGTTCTCCGCTCACTGGAAATAAATAGATGCAAAGGATCAGATGTTGCTGTGTTTAGAAGTTGGTCAAAGGAGGAGTTTCAGAAATTAGAAACTCTGAAAATTGACGGTTGTGAAGAGCTCAGACAACTGTGGCCAAATGTGATATGTCCTGAGAAGCCACCACAAGGGTTGGGGTTGGATTGCTTTATCTTGCTTAAAGAGCTATATTTGAGTGAGCTTCCAAGTCTAGTTTCGTTTCCAGATGCTTCTCTTTCCAGTCTGACCAAAGTTCACATTCGGAATTGTGAAGCCATAAAATCTTTACATGAAGGGTTGAAGCACAACAACGCACGTATTCAGCACTTGGAAGTTTCTAGTTGTCCTTCTCTAAGGTTCATTGTGAGGGGCCGACTACCTTCATCACTAAAAATCCTTTGGGTAGCGGAATGTGAAAGATTGAGGTGTATTTGGGAGGATACTTGTACTTCTTCTCCTTCTTGTTCTTATTCATTGATGCAGAAGGAGGATGGGGACAACACCGCTACATCTCTTCTTTACGAGTTGAATATTGGACAATGCCCTTCTCTCACGCACTTATCATCAACACACCACTTACCTTCAACATTCACAAGGCTTTTGATTGAGTATTGTTCAAATCTGAGGACGTTAATAGCAGGAGGACTGTTACCCAAGGCACTTAAATTCCTTCGGTTTCAAGGTTGCCCAAAGCTAGAGCTAAAAGTGGAGAGTTTTGATAATAATACGTCTCTTGAACATATTTTTATCAGCGGATGTGATCATCTTAAATCAGTTCCCGAAGGCCTACACACTCTACACAATCTTAGTTCTATAACAATAGAAAATTGCCCAAATCTTGTTTCTTTCCCAAAAGATGGGCTTCCTAACACTGATTTAAGAGTCACTATCAGTGGATGTAAGAAGCTACAAGCCCTACCTAGTCACATGCACACCCTCAAATCTCTTCAATCCCTAGCCTTACGGAATAATCCAAAAATGGCCTTCTTTCCTGAACAAGATATTCCCACCAATCTAACATCACTTGACGTTGATGATCCCAACATCTACAGCACACTTGCTGAGTGGGGCTTCCACAAACTCATCTCTCTTAGAACACTCTGTATTGACGGATTCCCAAATGCAGTGTCCTTTCCAGAGGAGGAGAAGGAAATGAAGTTGCCAGCCTCTCTAGTTCATGTAAAATTACAAAAACTCACAAAATTGAAATACCTATCTCCCAGGGGTTTCCAGAATCTCACCTCTCTTGAAAACTTGGAGATCATTAATTGCCCAAATCTCACATCCTTGCCACACCTTCCATCTTCGCTTCTTCAACTATATATTAGTGGTTGTCCATTGCTGAAACAAAGGTGCAAAAGGGATGAAGGACAAGAGTGGTCTAAGATAGCCCACATCCCTCACGTTGAGATAGACAGCTGGTTAAGAAAATTGGTGTCTATTTGATATCAGAAACAATGGAAAAGACTGAATCACTTCATACTTAGGGGCTATTCAGGTCTGTCAATTTCTAGAATCCACACCATTAACTTTTATCAAGACAAATTAGTTTTTTATTAAACAGACAGTTGATTATTAATTATGTGCTCCTGCAGGAACCAACTTGAATGTATCTACTCGAATGCATATGCCAACATGGAAATGGCAGCGGTAAGCTTTACCATATGGTTTGTCGAAATATAAAAAAAGTCATGTAATTAGTAGAATTTGTTGTTTATATTGCAATTTAAAGTGATTTGAGCATGCCCACCATCTAATCCTTCCCTAAACTTGGAATCTCTAAGGTTGATTGGATGGTTTTTACTATTGTTCAGCTCTGTGAAAACAGAGGCTGATACAGAGCTCACCGCATTGCAAAATAATGTAAGTTTACTATTCATTCATCTTGCTAGTAACACAATGTAAGAGGTATCAATTCTGTTTTATTCCCTGTTATTGATATTTCAGGCCTACATGTTGATCACTAAAATATGTCGTAGCTTGGAATTTAATTGTTCTTGCATCATTTTGAAAATAGTCCTCTCCATTTGACATTTGTTTTTCTTATGTTTTCTAAGGGTCCTTTTCTTTTTCCCAGAGGAAGAAAGTGGACAATTTGACACTTGGTTCCTGAAGTTAACCGTTTCTTTGCCTCATGCATTCTTCTAACTATTGTGGTTAAAAAGTAAGAAAAAGAAATGTGGATTGAGTCAAATTCTGATGTTTTGCAATTTTTGATACATATGATTTTCATAGTTATTGAACTCTCTATATACTTTGGTCGGGGTTTCTTTACAGATGAGTCAAATTCTGATGTTTTGCAATGGTACGCTATGCTTGGTGGAGCTCCAGCTGATTTTAGCCAATTACAGGTATAGGCAGCATGGATTATGCTTCAAAGTTATTTACGGATAAACTTCAGGAGTTATTTACGGACTTTAACTCTTGAAAGTTATTTCTCGTAAGTGAAGTCAACAGAACTATTGTTGCATTTCAGTTCAAGATCCTATTTGCAGTAAAAAAACAAAGGGTTGTTGTGATTCTAAGTTGCTGGCCTACTACAGTTGTTTTTCAAAAGTTTCTGCGACTGTCTTGCTGAGTTTCTGCGATTTTTTAAGATGGGTTAGTGCCCAAATATGGAATTTTGTTGCTGAAGAATCTGTTAAAGCCTTTCCAAGGTTGTGAATTTCTAGTTCTATAAACATGTTTTTGTAGTGTCCATGTTTCTGATATTTCTTGTTTTTATAAGACTAAGATGACTGTCCTGTCCGAACCTCGGTCTATCATCCTCTCTTGTGCAATTACTTATGATTGACTATCCTTGGCAGGAAAAAAAAGAAGTGCAAAAGGGATGACAGACAAGACTGTCCAAGATAGCCCACGTCCCCTTGTGTTAAGGTAGACCGATAGTTCATCTATGATCCGGATGAAGAACAATCAACTTGATTTGATCTATGCCTACTGCTTTTTGCAATTTTGTGCAGAGGTTTTTGTGTTTAATTGCTGGAATTTTTGTTGCTGAAGAATCTCTTGAAGCCTTTCCAAGGTTATGATTTGCTGTGCCTATGGCCATGGCTTATTTTCTTTGCAGCAAATGAGCTTTCTATATTTGTTCTTGTTATAAGACTAAATTACTTTGGCGTTACGATATTTATAATTTCACATTCTTTCCAAACCCTGGTTACCACCCTTATATGTGCGATCATAAATGAATGATTGTTCTTGGCAAAACAGGGCAAAAGCGACCACGAACGAGTGTGGTTCAAGATAGCATAGATATCTTGTGTTAAAATAGGTCAGAATTTAGTGACAACGAACGAAGTGTGGTTCAAGATAGCATAGATATCTTGTGTTAAAATAGGTCAGAATTTCATCTATAATACATAATGAATGAACTACATATCACCTTCTCAGTTCACCTTTTGCTATTTTAGGTATGTCAAGTTCTACCATGTAGACCGTATGAGTTGATGTTATGGATAAAGGACTTGAAGTAAGCTGTGATTACAGAGGTCTAAAATATTTCTTTCTTTAATTTATGATACTCCCAAAATCATTTATGTTTCACAGATTTTCATTTTAATGCCAAAATTAATAATTGTTGAACTCTTTAGACATTGAGCTGTATTATATATAGAGGTTTTCTAAAAAATCCAGTTGGTTTGTGTTTGGTGTATGTGTAGAGCTAAACATGAGGGGCTGATTCAGATCATGGAAGATATACGATATAACACTCTTTTCGGTGGAGATGAATTTACGCAATAGGTTCGGAGTCAGACTTGAGAAAGTTATTTACTATGAAGCAAGTCATCAGCACAAATGAAGTATGGTGGACGGAAATTCTACTGCAAGTGTCACAGTGACTCTTTTGTTTGAAACACTTTTCTACTGCCAATTGTTCTAGAGATTGTGTTCAAATGTTGGAATTCTGATTTTTCTTTTTCCAGATAATGAACTGCTTATATTTCTTCTTGTTAAGAGTTAAGCTACAACACTTTTTTATGTTGTAACTACTGCAGAATTTTCACAACTTCAAATCTTCTGGTTCTGGTAGTTTGGGAGTTCTAGTTGTAAAAATGCTATAATTTCTAAATCAATTCTCATTTTTTTTTTTTAACAAATAAAAGAGGTTAGTTGAGTCATTTATGATATTGCCATATTGGTAGAATATCACATTGAATCATTTCATTTAATATATGGTAAAAAAATCTATACAAAAATGGTTAACTATAAGCAAATAAGCATTAACTTATTAATAAGATTCCTAAATAATAAATGCTATAATAAATATGAACATATATCTTTTTCCAAAACATTTATGATTACTATGCCAACTAGTATTTAAGTAAAAAATAATACTTTGACTTCCATTAAAAATTAGAAACAAAAAAACAATGATCTTCAAAGTCGCAACACTTTTGCTAATATTACTTTGTGTTTCTTCAAGAAACAATGGTGTGGTGGCAAGTCTTCCTAGAGAAGAAGAAGAACTGCAAATTCTTAAAAAATCTGATAATGTCAAAACTATTCAGGTACATTTATTTGCTAGATTATTAGATTAAATGCAATTTTTTTTTTTTTTTGAATAATGGAAAAAAATACTTTGGAAATGTAACATAATTAATGTTAATATTGTGTNTATATATATATATATATATATATATATATATATACTTTTTGGCTTGACTTGAAATTAAATTGGAAACTTACAGATCAGATGATGTTGGAATTGGGTGGTGTGGAGCTACATGTTAGCAAGCTTTCCGTTATTGTTTTGAAAGAATTATAGTTGGGTTATAATTGTAGGAACGGATGAATATAGTATTTGAGCTTTAAAGCCCATATGTAACTATTGTGGTTGGTTTGATGAAATTGAAGTATTGAAGGCCTTACAGATTACATTGTTTGGACTTGGGCTCGATTTTGAATTGGTGGGTTGGCCTATTAACAATAAGGCTAGTTTAAATTGGTTAACTAAATTCTAGATTTGAGGATGAATTGAGTGCCATGCAAATACAAAGACGTGAAAGGATTCGACACTCTTTTTATACATTTAGAGAGCATGAAGTTGAGAAGAATTTCAAAGTCTTCCATGGAGTTGAGCAGTTAAGGAAGTTCTTGACAGTAGTTTGGCCACCAAAGTTAATATATGGTTGGAGTTACATAAGTCAGTCAATCATTCCTAATATATTGTCAAAGCTCAGAAAATTGAGATCATTGTCTTTAACAAATTATCATGCGATTGAACTATCCGATTCAATTGGAGATTTGAAATGTTTGAGGTATCTTAATCTTTCTAAAACTCAAATCATAAATCTACCTGAGTCAACAAGTTTACTATTCAATTTACAAAGTTTGTTATTAAGAAATTGTTTAGCTCCCAAAAATTTGCCTCTACAAGTGGGAAATTTGATAAATCTATGCCATGTTGATATTAGAGGGGCAACACTTATAAGAGAAATGCATTTAGGATTGAAAAAACTGAATTGTATTCAAACCTTATCTAATTTTGTTGTGGTTAAAGGTGTTGGATCTAGTTTGAAAGATTTGAAAGAATTGAAGTTTATTCTTAGAGAACTTTATATTTCAAGGTTAAAGAATGCAACTGATTGTCATTAAACAAGAGATTATATATTGTGCCATAAGAATAACATATAAGTGTTAGGGTTATAATAGAGTTTTTCTATGCCTTCTCAAGATGAAGTAGAGAAAATTGTTCTCAACATTTTACGAACCCATAAAAATCAGAAACAATGTCCCAAACTCTATGTGAGCAAATGTGAAAATCTTAAATCACTTCCCGAGGGCCTACACAGTCTACACAATCTTAGTTCTATAAGAATAGAAAATTGCCCAAATCTTGTTTCTTTCCCAAAAGATGGGGTTCCTACCACTGAATTAGCAGTCGTTATTGCTGGTTATTGGAGCTGGAATATAGACCAAGAACACGGGAGAAGATGAGAAGAAATATGAGATAAGAGAGCTGAAGACAAAGTTGAAAGAGGGCACACTTTCGTTACAATAAAAACAGAGTTTATACAACATTTTACATCACTGTTGTACCTAATATTCAAACATATTTTAATCTCAAATACATCTTAACTTTACAACTTTAACAACTAAATTTACGTCTCATTTAAATGAAATAAAGTTGACAGCTTAATGTATGCTGAATCCACCAAAAACAATCACTTCATCATGCCCAAAAATCAGCTTCTGTGAACTGCTTCCAGGCCATTCTTCATCACTTCAAATTCTGCATTTGCCGCCGATTTTCCAGCGTCAGCTAACAACCAAAAACGGTTTGTTTTAAGCAAAATATCATCACTTTGAACAGTTATCAGCAAATGTGAGAAACTACAAGTCCTACCTAGTCACATGCACACCCTCAAATCTCTTCAATCCCTAGCCTTACGGAATAATCCAACAATGGCATTCTTTCCCAAACAAGATATTCCCACCAATCTAACATCACTTGAAGTTGATGATCCCAAAATCTACAACTCAGTTGCTGAGTGGGGGTTCCACAAACTCATCTCCCTTCGAAAAACTTACTATGTGTTGGAGCCCAGGGCAGTGTCTTTTCCAGAGAAGAGAATGAAGTTGCCGCCTCTCTGATTGAACTGGCAATAATACATTCCAAAATTTGAAATACCTATCTCCAGGTTTTCCAAAATCTTACCCCTCTTGAACCTTGGGTATCATTAATTGCCCAAATCTTACATCCTTACCAGACCTTCCATCCTCGCTTGTGCGACTATATATTGGAAGTTCTCCATTGTTGAAACACAATGCAAAAGGAATGAAGGACAGGAATGGTCAAAGATAGCCCCATCCCTGTGTTAAATATGATTGAAAGTTCTTTTTAGAAACTGTAGAAATGGCTGGATCGCTCAATCACCTCACTTCATCTTAGGCTATTCAGGTCAGTCAATCTCTAGAACCACACCATTAGCTTTTATCAGGACCATTAGATTTGTGCCACTGATTCTTCTAACTTTTATTGAATGAGTCAAATTGATGTTTTAAATTTTTGAGATTTATAATTTCATAGAATTGAACTTTCGTTTTTTCTATGAACCACAATTTGGGTTCTTTTTGTTGAAAAATGGCTTTTGGCAAAATCACATGGGGTAGAATGATAATGGAGAAAGGTTTAGGGACTTACATGTAATAGGCTAAGAAAAGTTGTTTGTCCCATTGATTAGGATTGAAAAGTGGGAACTTTTGGGGCCTATATATAAGGACCCATATATTGTTATTAGGCATCCCAAGTTGTAATTCCATTATACTTCTTTGTTTAGGGTTCTTTCTTTAAGGACCATTTAGTTTGCAAGTTTTGTTGTATCTCCCCTTTGTTTTGTATTTGTTGTTTGCTCAAAATTTGTAATATTGTTTGGAGATAGTGGAGTTTTCTTTTGCAGCATCCGAGGACGTAGGTTTTAATACGAACCCCGTAATTCCTGGTATTTTATTTTTGCATTTAATTTTGGCAATTATTTATGCTTTAATACTGTTTATTATTTCATAAGCTAGCGTTAGAGTTTAGTTTCCATTGCATAACAATTGGTATCAGAGCCTAGCTTTAAGACAGTGAGTAGCTATTTGTATGGATATAGCATGTCTAGGAAAATTCTGTCAAAAAGACGAAAAAGTCTAAGGAGACTGGATTTTAAGT